GTGCATCATGAAGATGGCTCCCAAAGATGAACTGCTAAGGGAATGCCTTAGACTTCCACAGATTGAGGATGCAGAAAAAGAGGATGTTCCTTGGCAAGACAAACCTCTCCATGAGGTGTACCACTGGCAGATAGTGGATGTGGCTCACATGACAAAATCCTACCAGTGGTTAGAAAAGGCAGGACTGAAAGACAGCACTGAGGCACTAATCCTAGTAGCACAGGAGCAGGCACTCAGCACCAGATCAATAGAAGCTGGAATCTACCACACCAGGCAAGACCCAAGGTGCAGACTGTGCAAAGAGGCCTCTGAGACAGTCCAGCACATAGTAGCTGGATGCAAGATGTTAGCAGGAACAGCATACACGGAGAGACACAAGCAAGTTGCTGGGATTGTGTACCGAAACATCTGCACAGAATATGTATTGGACCTGCCTTAGTCCAAATGGGAGATACCACAAAGGGTAGTTGAGAATGACAGGGCTATGATCCTGTGGGACTTCAAGATCCAGACAGACAAGCAAGTGCTGGCCAACCAAACATACATCGTGGTGGTAGACTAGGAACAAAAGACTGCAGTCTTGGTGGATGTGGCAATACCCAGTGACTATAACATCAAGAAGAAGGAACATGAGAAGGTGGACAAATACCAAGGACTGAAAGAAGAACTAGTAAGGATATGGAAAGTCAAGGCAGTAGTAGTCCCAGTTGTGATAGGAGCACTCGGGGCTGTGACTCCCAAGTTGGGGAAGTGGCAGGTGGGACTGAGATCGCTGTCCAGAAGAGTGCAGTTCTAGGAACAGCTAAGATACTGCGCAGAACCCTCAAACTCCCAGGCCTCTGGTAGATGACCCGAGAATGAGGAATAAACATATCACCTAGGAGGGGTGAGAAAATCAATTTTTTTAGATATGTAATATAAATTGCAAAAAAATACATTTATAAAAAAACAAATAAAAATGCTAACTTTGGCCAGCATTTATGACTAAGTGGCTACTACCAAAGACTGGACATACCCCATTTTAAATACCCTGGGTTGTCTAGGTTTGAAAATGGTATGCCATGATGGGGTTATTTCACAATCCTGGGCTACCATATGGTCTCAAAAGACAACATATATGCTGCAAAACAAACCGGCAAGCTGAATTGGGCAAGCCCTATATGGACCCTGTTACTTTCCAAAACACCCTAAAACCTGTACATGGGGGTATTTTTATACTTGGGAGACTTCGCTCAACACAAATATGAGTGTTTAAAACAGTAAAACCTATCACAATGATGAAATCACCAGTAAAAGTGCAGTTTTTGTGTAATTTTTTTTTTTTATAAAATAAAAATGTTAACTTTTGCCAGCATTTGTGGCTAAGTGGCTACTAAAAAAGACTGGATATACCCCATTTTGAATACCCTGGGTTGTCTACTTTTACAAATGGTATGCCATGATGGGGTTAATTTTCATTTCAGGGCTGCTATATGGTCTCAAAAACAACATAGGCCCAGCAAAACAATCTGGCAAATTTCAATGTGCAAACATTTGACCCCTGTACGTTTGCAAAAACCCATACAACCTGTACATTGGGGGCACTGTTGTACTTGGGAGATGCTACTGAACACATATTGGGCTGTTCTTTGACAGGAGCTGAGAATCCATCCCTAAAGTACAATGTGTGTGGAAAAATTTAAAAAAAATGACTACCCAAAAGTTTGACAAAGACTGATGGTAGAATTAGTGCATGGAAAGTGTTAAAATACCAGGTGGAGGATATATCACATTTCTTCCATTCCTTGACACTATTGGCATTGGTGTTAATACAGCAGGTGGGCTACTCCCACCCTTTGGCTAAAGGATAGGAGATAATTATTATACGTACCTGTACATTAATATATTGAATACCTGTAGCTTGAGCTAGCCTTTGCCTTCCCCTCACTTGATGCCTCAAAAATTTCCCAGTTGGTAAATTAACTTTTTAAACTTTTATATTGCTGTCAGTGATGTAAGAGAATAAGAAGGGGCATATTGCTGGGTGAAAAAACAACAAAATATTTTTTTCCTTAGATTTCATTATTGGATAATTATATTTACGTCCAATTGTGTGTATGCTTTTATGCATATTGCATTTATTGATACAGATAATACAGTTTGCTGTGAATATACACTTTAATTTTGATTAGATTTATATAGTTGTCCTTCAAAATGCAACTGAAGGACATATACTAAAATACTGGTCATGCTTCAGCTCAATTCCATAAAGAAGACTTTTGGGCTGTCTTTGACCTTTTTGCAACACTGGCTGTCTACCAAGCAGAGAGTACTGGCTGTGCCAAATAGCATAAAATAGTACAGTGATTCTGTTCACTAGACAGATGTCATGATATGGGCTAAATTAAGATAGCCAAACCTATTCTTCCAAACCTAAGCTGGAATGGCTACAATAGCATTACAGATGAGAAGCTAGAGAATTCTCTGCACATTTAGAGCTTTAGTTGGAAACATACATATTAAAGGTACAATAAGTATACCACACCAGTGAATGTTCTGTACGTTTATAGACTTTTGGTAACAAACTGT